ACAGAGATCCGCCTGCCTCTGCCTTCTAAGTGCTGGGATTAAAGATGTGCATCACTACCACCCAGCCACACTTCCACTTGTTAGATGTTAGACTGTGAAATTTGGAATATACAGCAGATGATGGGGCTCACGCCTACAATCCCAGCTCTTGGGGAGCATTGTCTATCAAAAACTCTCAGTTGTCTATCGTGTGTGTATCCTTTTAGGCTACCTTAGACCTTGCTTGAAAAGAACTAATATTCAATTCACTATTTACCCCATATCATAATATTTTTTCAATTAGTATTTTTAAATAAATAATTGAAAAATGGGTGGAGATTTTTTAGGTTTTAGGCCAAGAGAATGTTTGGGTGCCCCTTCATCCCTTTCTTCAGCCCTCAGGCTTTGAATACAACATAAGTGTGCATGTGCTCAGCCTTACTTGAATATAACATGAATGTACACATGTTCATCCCTTACTTGATGGTCCTGTGAATCTTATTTTTTTAGCCATAAATTTTGAAATTATGTAGCTTAAATTTCTTGGAGCTACGACTTCATTCCGGCTCTTTGTTCACTACGTAATTTGTAACACAGAGCCCAGGGAATGATTCATCCAAACCCCCATCCTCCTAACCATCCCCCAGATCACCTCTCACTTACCTGGGAGAAGGAGTAAGAGGCCTGAAACGAGGACTTGTGAATGCATCCTGATGGTGACCTAAGGACAACGAGAAGACACTCTGATCGACTGTTCCTCACCACACTGTCTCTGAGAATGTCTTTCATCCTGAATGTACAAATCACATAGGCCTCTCTGCTAGGGTACCCTGTCCTCCCAAGCAGCCACTGTTTCCTGGTCCTTCCCCCATACAACCATCAGTCTCACTTCTGGTCTTGGCACAAATAAGATGACAGAGAAAACTTGAAGGCGGGCATAAGGTTGTGTTCCCTTGGGAGATCCCTAAGCAAGGACCAGCCTTCCAAGGGTGGTGCACTTACCCTCTGGGTGGACTCAGGGCTGTTCCTACTTCATAGCCACAGATGTTGGTCCCTAAGCCTTAATCAACTTCATCATTAGCAACATGGACTGAGAAGAATGGAAGTGTTAAGCACAATGTCCCACATAGGCCAAAGACAAGGGTTTTGGGGATTTTCGTTTTGGTTTCACTGTAACCACAACCAGACTGGGGCTGAGGGAGGATGAACAAATATTGTTCTCACATTAATATTAAAACATTAATATTAGACTGCTGCAGAGGCTCCTGGTTAAGACTGCCCACTGCTTCTACAGGATACCTGAGCGAGGTTCCCAGCACCCACGCTGGGATGCTCGCAGCCACTATCTGTGGAGATGCAGCAGATCCAAACATTCCTTGAACACCTGTGCTCACACGCATATATCACCACACACAGACACAAATGATTAAAAAGAATAAATACAAATCTTAAAATGGTAATATGCTCATAATAACTTTGACATCACATATTTATCAAATTACCAGGCATCCAGTTTACTATAGAAAATGCTAATATAATACTAGAGTTTTATTCATTCTGTCCATTTGTTTGCTGTCTTCAACAGAGCACGTATGAGTCTATGAACCTAGACTCTAGCAATGAGTCAAAGACCTCGCATTTCATGTAGCTCGCAGCTATGTAGAAAAATAAGAGTTTGTTTATAAACCATAGAAACTACAGAATTCACCCTTAACCCGCACGAATGAACCCATGAACAGAGCAGGAAAATAGCAAGGAAACATAAAGGGAGTCAAGGGAGCGTTGGCAACAGGGTCGGAGGGGTAGACGCAGGCTTTGCTTGGGTTGCCAGACCTTACCGGACTTTCCAATAATCTCACAGAGAAGATGAAATTTGAACAAAGCTGAAGAAGATTTAGCCAACCAGAAAAAGGAGTCACAGGAGAAGAAACTGAGGGGAGACAAAGTTTCAGACGCAGGAGAGTGCCTGTGGCAGGGGAGCGGGCAGGGCAACTGGGACAGTGAGGGACAGCAAATCAGAAGAGCAGGAGGGAGGCCAGCAACATCACCCAGGAGGCAACTCTTGAGGACTCTCCTTCTCACTAGGGCACAGGGGTCATTGCTGGGGTGGAGTGACAGGACGTGGTGTCCTCTGGGGACTGCAGTGACTGCTAGGCTGACAAGCAAGGACACTTAGGACACTTAGGGGTCTGTGGCAGGAATTCAATGTGAAAGAGACAACAGAAAGCAACATGTTCAATGAAACCAAGACACTCAGGTCTATGCGCCCAGAAGCAAAGCAAACTGGGCTTCCTATAGGCTGGGAGTCTAAATAGGATTCGTTACTCAAGCCTCAGCTGTGCATGACAGGAAGGGCTGTCAGCAGAGGATGGAGGAGCTGCTCCCACCTCTTGGAGGAGATATCCTGGGCTTTGGTCACGCTAGTGTGCAGTATCTTTGGAACTCAAAGCTGGGCTTGAACCCCTGATCCTGTGCCTCCATCTCCCGAGGGCTGGGACTGAGAGTATTTGCCAACGTGCTAAGGTTTCTTTCTTTGTTTGTTTAAATGATAGAAGTACCAGTGTGGGAGCTGGGTATATGAGCTGGTAGAGAGCTGCCTAGTGGGTGTGAGCCTCTCGTTCAATCACCCACATCAGACAAACCAGGAATTGTGGTGTATGGCTGTAATTCAAGAACTTAGGAAGTAGAGAATTAGAGGACTTCAAGGCCATCTTTAGGTGCCTGTCAATCTGGAGGCCAGCCCTAGATACATGAAGACATGTCTTAAGATAAAAGTATATCATATTAGCAATCAGTAGGCTAAGAAAAGAAGATTGCAGTGAGATCCAGACCAGTCTCGGCTACAGAGTAAGTTTCCAACTCAGAAATAAACAGAATTCCTATAACAGTGTGTGTATGAAGTATGATCTGAAAACTGTTCAAGTTGGGTATTGAATTCATCACCCTCCAGCCTCAGCTCTTGGGTTGCCTTCCTGACAAAGAGGAAGAAAAGTTTTTTTGAGCAACAAAAGGGTGGAGGCTCGCACCGCAGTAAATGGTGGCAGCTGAGACATGAGTTGGGTTCAATGGTGTCTGCAGAAACTGTGGGTTGATGGTGTCCACACTGAAGGAAGAAACAAAGAGCCAAAGAGATGGCTTAGTGGGTACCGTCACTTCCTGCTAAGCTTCCTAACCTGAGTTAGACACCATCCCCAGTACTAATTGGTAAAAGAATAGGATAGACTCCTGAAAGTTGTCCTTTGACCTACACATACACACACACGCACACACACACACACACACACACACACACACACACACACGCAATAAAAAAAGAAAGTTCAGAGGAAGACTTTACAATTTTGAGGATCTAACAGTATCCACTGAGGTATATTTGCTATATTATCTGACTGTTGCTTTAAGGTCCCTGTGCACATAGGAGTTGGGTGTGGCGGTGGGAGGGGTTCAGAACAGTGAAAGAACAGTCAGCAACACCTGGGTGCTGTGAATCTCATGATCAGTACAGACAGACAGCCCAAGAAGAAGGACCGCAGCTTCCAGAAGCTCCAGCTTTGGGGAGGAGTGGAAGAACCCTTTAGCAGACATTAGCATCTTAAAAATCATCTTAAAGCTTTACCTAAATATTTCCCCCAGAGTTAAAGAGTTCGATGACTTCCCACTCATTGAAGAACAAGTCCAAGTCTAAAAGCCGCTCATCTTCCTGGACTGACCACTCCCTTCCCAACTCCAACACTCCAGCTAATGCAAATTTTAGTTACTCCTGCCCTTGGCTCCCTCACCCCTAACATAAAACCTCAAATGTCTGTAGCCAACAGAAGGTAGTCTTCACACCACATACAGATATTTTGTTCAAAAATCTCCTAATATGAAAACTACAAGTCAGTGAAGGACACTGACAATATATCTATGTCCTCACCTCCTTGGTCCCATTTCTATGTTATATAATATTATATATTACTTACAGATACCAGGAGTACCAAACTATTTTCTACAGTTTTTGTCTTGGTTTCTCATGTTAACTTTGCTTAAAAAAGACTTTAATCGCTCACCTATGTAAATCTATCATTCCATTTAAATGAAGATACACCTTCCAAGAAACCAGAACTCTATAGGATGCTAAATTGCTCTAATGTCTAGAGATTCACTCCCCATTGTCCTAATGTCTTGCACACAATCCCACAGCATCCCATATGTAACTCCATATGGTTCCAAAACTGCACAGGGCACTATTCTAATTGCATCTCTCTAACATGAGTCTGTAGATGACCCTGCTTACCTGGTACTTAAGAGAGTAGAAACTTCATGTTACAGTTTCTTCTTCTAGTCCTCTGCTGCTGATGGATGCTTCCAGAACTATTTGTGGATAAAGAGGAACCTCCTTTATAAGTCCATCCTTATCTCCCAGCCACGCTTTCACCTGTTCTGTGTGAGCATTGAGTCTCTCCAGTTCTCCAATCCACCTCCTAGATAGCATCTGCTCACTGACCTAGACTATACTAGAACTTAAGTGTATGGGAGCATTGTTAATATGCCTCCTGGGTTTCCAAAGCCGCAAAGATCGTCACCTGAGGTGTGACTCTAGGCCTGGGGACCCTGCTGCTTCTGATATGACAGGAGAGAAAAGAGACTTTAGCACCTGGACCAACCCTCTCAATTTACAGTGAATAAACCACACTCGGGAAAGAAGACTGAACTGTGGGAGCAGCAGTCCCTGGAGCAAGAACAAAAGGGACATCTAGCTCTTACAATATCCTCTGGGTGTCATTCAGCTCACGTCTTCCTAATAAATGTTTCCTAGAAGCCCATATTAGAACGAGGGAACTGAAAGACATAAACCTAATTCACACTGTTTCCAAAAGTTTCGGGAATGCAGGGTATGGCGGTATACACCTTTGACCTCGCACTGGGGAGGCAGAGGCAGATATTATATGGCAGAAGGGCTCCAGGCCAGCTGCATGGTGAGATGAGATGTGTAAAGAAGCCAAAGCCATGCTTCTCCATACCCAGGTGCACTTTTCAGTTGTCACTAAAATTCTCACAGAGGCTCCCAGAGTGCGGGAGTTGTATAAAACAGGAACCTGGGTATAACTGCTTTTTTGTCTGGGAATTAGAGGGTAATATGTCGTTCAAGCAGGTTTCTAGAAGCGAAGGTACATTCTGAGGATGCCCCCTCTCCTACAAACCAAATAAGTAAATAAATTAATGACCAATCAACCAATCAACCGTCTTTAAGATACTGAGGGCAACATCACAGATCTGTTTGGGGCTAAAACGTCTGGCCCTTCACCGTCTGTGTGGGGGTAAGATGCTGACCCCACACCCATTTGAGGGAAGACAGATGGGTCATGGGAATTTAATAACATTAGACTTTTTTTTTAGTGAAGTTAGGGTGATCATTTCAGTTTTGATTTGGGTGTTGTTTGTTTGTATTTCTACTTTTGTTTTGAGACAGAGTCTCATTATGTGATGTAGGATGGCTTGAAAGTCCCTTGTAGTCAAAGACAATAGTGAATTTCTAATCTTTCTTCCTCCACTGCGGCTGGATTCCAGGTGTGCGCTGCCTCCTGGGGTTTCTGCGGTGCTGAGGATCCAATCCAGGGCTTCATGCATGCCTGGAAAATCTTCTAAAACTGAGCTACATTCACAACCAGGATCACAGTGGTGTGTGTGTGTGTGTGTGTGTGTGTGTGTGTGTGTGTTTAAATTCATGTATCGTGTTCTTGTTATCACTGTTTCAGGCACACTGGCTTCCTGTCTACTTTTAGGCTATTCTGAGTTCTTTTGGTCAAGGCACCTAATGCATGGCTCTTCCCCTTTCTTAGGACAATCTCAGTATAGATGGTTGTGAGCCGGGAATTGAACTCAGGACCTCTGGAGCAGTTACTGCTCTTAACCTTTGAGCCATCTCTCTAGCCCTCTTCAGCAAATCCTACCAGTGTGTACCACCACACGTTATTTCAACAGAATACCTCTCTCTGGTGGTTTAGAAACCTGCTCCATAGCTTCCTGTCTCCAGCCGAAATTTGTAGTCAATAGCCCCAGTTCCTAGCTGTTCATTCCTAGTCTAGTTCCTGACTTGGATAGCTTATTACAAAATAATCCACTTAGGACCCTGCACAATGCTTACTCAGGTGGGTTGACATTAATACCTGTGAAATGCACACTGATGTCATAAGACTTAAAATGAGAGAGTCCGAACTCTTGGTGTTTTTTTTTTTTCTGTTCATTTACTGTTGAGATAGGAAGACCTACAATGAATTGAGTTAAAGAAAATAAATTCTTACACTTAATGTCACTTATTTCTATTTTTTTAATGTTTGTGTGTATAAATGCACACGTGTGTGTATGTGGGTAGGGATACATGCAGATGCGGGACAGGTGAGGACAGATGGTGTCCTCCTCAATCACTCTGCCTATTCCTTTGAGGCAGGATCTCTCCCTGAATTGGGGCCTCATGAGTCTTATGTCAGACTGGAAGCCAGAAAACCACAGGAATTTCTGTGTTTCTCTCCTCACTTTGAGTGTGGGTTTTGGATGCTCTTGGGGTTGGGTCTTCTTATGTGGATGCTGGGATGCTCAGTCTGGCCTTCGTCATTGTGCAGCAAGTATGTCTAACCGCTGAGCCATCTCTCAAGCCCTATGACTTGTTTCCTTTAAATACAGAGAGTAGAAAAATTGAAACTGCGTATGTAGTTCTTGCTGTATTAGTACTGCACAGTGCTGGTCAAGTTCAAAGCAATTGCACTGCTCTCTGCTGGAGCGTGGGGAACGCTCAATGGAAAAGAGGGAACGGGGGAATCCCTGTGTTAAACACTGCTCTTTTTTTGATGCTTGCTTGGCTCATTTTGTGCTTATTTGTTTTGAGATGAGGTCTCTAGTGGCCCAGAAACTTTAAGTTTTTATGACTGAGACTGTCCTTAGATTCTTGATCTTCCCACTCTGAAGCTAGAATTCAAGTATGTATCACCATGTTTGTCTTTTTCATTGTATATTTCATTGTATATATAATTGACTATGTTCCTACCCTTGGTTGGTTGGCTTGTTTATTTGAAGACAGGGTCTTACTTTCTGAATCAGGCTGATCTCATATCAGCCATTACCCTGCCTTGTGCTGGAACTATACTCAGGTGCAACCACACACCCAACTGAAGCATGACACTTAAGAATCAATCCCAGGATCCCCCACTAAGGAATGAGGCTCAGTTAACAGTATCACATCAGTTTCTTCATTTTGATCAAGCCTCCATGGAAACTGGATGATTTCAGGGACCCTCGTGATTTTGCTACAGATCCAAGTTCTTTCAGGAAAAAGAGAAGAACAACAGCAACAGGGAAATAAACAATCCAAGGAGATCTGTGTCTTCCAGGAATACTTGAAGCAGTTAGCTTCCAGCAGGCTGCCCTGCCCAGAGAGTCCCTGTGACAGCCTGACTGGAAAGAAGCAGCTAGAAGGGTGTGGATGTCAGGTTCAGAGTCTTTACCTGAGCTTCCAGGATGGTGAGGCTGCTGCGTGTGTACTGGGAATTCTTAGCCTGAGGAGGATGGTTGATGTCCTTGTTGGAAGAACAGTGAAGACTTCAGAGAATTCCCTGAGGCCTGGAGCAGACAGGCCTTGAATGAAGATCCTCACCCTCAGCACTGAGCCTTCCTTCCACCACAGCTCAGCCAACAGCAGGTCAGGAGAGTTTAGCTAAGATCTAGTGGTCAACTTTGGCACAAAGGAATTTTTTGAGCCCCGCAGGAAGGTGCACACCTTTGACCACAGCAACGGGAGTTGGTGGTAGGAAAATCAGTAGGTCAGAGTCACCTTACACTGCATTTCGGTTCATGGTCAGTCCAGATACATGAGACCCTGCTTTACTGGCTCTACTACCAATCTATATGAAAAATAAACTGACATAAAAATCTATCATAGGACAAACAAATTGCAAACAGTCTTTTTCCTTAGCCCACTAACTCTTACTTTTGACTGAGGAGTTGTATGAAGAAGTTTATCAAAGAGCTAACATCAATATTTCACAAGTGGCAAGGGAGAGACACAAGGATAGTCATAATGACATTGTTTATTTAAAAAAAGTCACATGTTTGGCAGCATGCTAAATG